CCTATGCCTTCCTGTCAGTTGCATTCTGGTTGAGGTCATATGAATGAACTGTAGATTCTATATGGACACAGGACATAGCCAAGAACATCACTGAGCCAGAAAGGTTCCCAAATTGTAGAGATGTCAGGCAGGCCTTGCCTGTCTACCTGTTTTGATAAAGAATTCCTGCCCAGTTTGGGCTTTGAGTTGTTTAGTCAGGGTGAGAAAAGGATACAAAACTTTATGAAATTACAATCCTTCTTCTTTCCTGTTCCCACCCCTGGTATTTTGTTCATTTTTGAAATTATCTTCCATTCCATTTCAGGAGAGCTGGGGCCATAGATGTCCCTCAGGAAATGGAAACTTATTAATGTTAGGAGAGCTGTGATAGGAAACTGTATTCTAGAACTGGATTTTAATTTCTAAGATGAAGCTTTCCTTAACTAGAAGTAGGATTATACATTTTTAATTTAGCAAGTGAAATGAAGTGACCAAAGAATATCAGGAAAATTACTGATTACTTAAGACTTTTTGTGCTTTGTGAACCCAAACTACTTAATTTTTCATGTGCTACTGGAAGGAAGGGCTTTACTCTTTTTGAAAGAGGGGAAGGCAAAAATATGTTGGTATACTGTATCTGGGTGATGACATTATAGACTCATAGATCTTCATATGTGTTTTTAATTCTATAACCTTAATTTTATCATTTAGTAGTACTCAAGGGTGTTAACATTTTGTGCTCCAGAGGGGTGTGGATTTGCTTGAGAACTTTCTCTGTTCAAAGCAAGAGAAACTGGGGAATTTTACCATTGACCTTGGAAGATTGTTTTTCTACCAGAGGCTGTCACTAACAGTTGATTTTGCTACCAAAGAGTAAGGGACAGAAAACACTAAAGGACTCTACTTCTTGGTAGGAGATGTGGGAGGACAGAACCAAAATCTTTAGGTGGAAATTAAAGAGAAATGGATTTCAAATTCAGTGTAGAGGGTCTTTACAATGGCCAACACTAGCTATTTTGTGAGACAGAGAGTTTTCTTTTTTTTTGTCATCAGAGATACTTAAATAAAGGTTAAAACAGGCTTTCTGGGGGGGAATAGTCTAGGGCCTGGATCAGCAAACTTCTTCTGTAAAAGGTCACATAGTAAAGAGTTTAGGCTTTTGGGGCCATGTGGCATCTGTTAAAACTATTTAACCCTGCTCTTTTAGCACAAAGGCCACCAAAGACAATGTGTAAACAAATGAGTGTGACTGTTATATTTGTCTGCTTAGACTGCCCTAACAAAGAATCATAGGATGACTTAAATAACAAGTTTATTTTTCACATTTCTGGAGGCTTGGAAGTCCAAGGTCAAGGTGCTGGCCAGTTTGGTTTCTGGTGAAGGGTTTTCTCTAGGCTCGTAGGCAACTGCCTTCTCACTGTGTCCCCACATGGTAGAGAGAGAGAGAGATCAAGAGATCTATTTCTTACTTTTCTTATAAGGCCACAATCCTATCAGATTACCACCTAACCCTTATGACCTCATTTAATCTTAATTATCCCATAACATTACATGGGGGTCAGGGCTTCAACATGTAAAATTTTTTTTAGGGGGGATACAATTTAGTCCATAGCAACTATGTTTTAATAAAACTTTGTAAAGACAGGAAGTGAGCTAGATATGACCCAAGGACCATAGTTTGCTAGTCTGTTGTGCAGAAAGTCTCAAACACTGGTGAGAGAGTAGACTTAGGTGATCTGTCAGCTGATAAACTCAACATCTCAAAGCTGTGAGTAGGGAACCTGCAAAATTGGCTGGATCAGAACAAACTCAGTTCAAAGCTCACGACAATTGTTTTACAGAATGAATCAGTTAAAAAACAAAAATAGTTTCTAAGTCCAGAATTAATTTTACTTCAGTGTACATCAAATTCATCTGTGTTTTTGGCTGGTGGGAGATACAGGTGATAAGCTGTGTTGTGATCATCTTTAGCGCAGGTCTGGTGCGGTCCTTCACTTGTAAGCAGTGCCATTTGCAAGGTCTTTGGTCATTGACCAACCTACAAACTTATCTTTTCTTTCTTCTGCCACAAAGCCATGATTATCAATTCTCTCCTTATTTGTGGAAGACTCCCTAATAATCTTCTCCCTCTCCTTCTTCAGAGAGAAAAGTCGAAGCTTATAGGAATTCCCAATGCATCTTTCCAGAAATCATAACAAACCTAAGTGTATCTACATCAGTCCCTGCTCTTCTCTTTCCTTTCTGTGGCAGTAAAGAATGAGTACTAAACACTGGGCACACATGGGCACAAAGATAGGAACAACAGACACTGGGCCCTGCTAAAGAAGGGAAGAGCAGGAATAAGGGATGGACACCATGCTCACTACTGGGAGGTGGGGTGAGCTTATCAGTAGCCCAAGCCTCGCCTTCACGCAATATACCTATGCACAAGTTCTCATATGTACCCTGTGTTTTAAAATGAATTTTTTAAATACATGAGACCCTTCATTGCTGTCTAAGCCCCTGTCCCACCTGCCTTTTGTGGGGCGGAGGGAATCTCATCACTAGTTCTTTCTGTGTAACTTAAAAAAAGGTCTGTTTTTGTTTGTGACCTGCCTGGGCAACTTGGCGAGACCTCATCTCTACAATAAATCAAAAAATAAGCCAGGCGTAGTAGCACACGCCTGTAGTTCCAGCTACTTGGAAGGCTGAGGCGGAAGGATCGCTGGAGCCCAGCAGATCGAGGCTGCGGTGGCTGGGAGCGGCCACTGCACTCCAGTCTGGGCGACAGAGTGAGACTCCAACTCAAAAAAAAAAAAAAAAAGTCTGTTTTTATATTCAGCTCTTGTCCAAAATCTATCTCAGCACTCGGTCTTATTTAAACATCTAACACAAATTCAATGCTAGAGGCATTAAACAAACAATGGAAATTTAACAGAAGTTGGAGAAAAGGGTTACACTACATGTATATGAAACTCTACTTCAAAACGATCTTGAAACTTTCTACATCACCCCTAAACTCTGCACCCAGAGTTTCATACATGGTAACTCCCTCATCTTTCCTTTTTCCCTGTACAAGGGAAGACCCCAAAAAGCCCAGGTTTTGTTTTATTAAAAGATTGTGTATTTATTCTTACATGTTTAAACTTAGTCACCTTCAAATTTCCTTCCATTTGAGGCAATAAACCTATCATGATGCGTTTTCCACTGCTCAAAACAGTTTTGGAACTCGTCAATTCTGATGCCTTATAGTGCTTCTGCCGTTTTTTGTTTCACCTCTTTTACATTAGTAAAATGTTTCCCTTTGAGGGCTTTGTAAATCAGGGAAACAAAAATATGTCACTCAGGGCGAAATTGGTTGGGGACACAGAGGTCATGCTGTTTTTGGTCAAAAACTGCTGACCACTCAGTGCAGTGTGGGCAGGTGTACTTGTAAATCACCCATCATTAAATGGACAAACGTGTTGAAAGAATTTAAAAAAAAAAAGAAATCACTAAAACCAAACACAGCCTCTCACAAAAACATTAGCTGTTACACTGATCCCGATGGGTTCCTAGAACACTTACCTGTACTACAAGGGACCCACCCTCCAAAAGATAATTCCGGGTTTTTCTGGGCCCCCCCTTTGTAATTCTCCTCTTCAGTCTTATTCCCTCTTCTTTTTTCAGCCCATCAATTTTCTTTACCTCTTCTCTGTTCCTGTATTTTTCAAGTGGTACTTTCTGTCTTTTTGTACAGGTGGAGATTTTGTGTTTTTCTGATTTCTCCGTATGCATACTAGTATATCACTGTGCTGGGGCTCCTAGCAGTTCTTATAAAATGCATATCTGATCATGCTGTGCTCTTTGATGAAAAAAATCTTCAACGACTCCCCATTGACCTAGGACGAAATTGCCAAAATCCTCACCTGTCCTAAAAGATCTAGCATGATCTGGACCCTGCTTACCTCTTCAATCATACCAGCCAGCCTCACTGGTTCTGTTATTGCCCAAGTTCCTTGTTATGGCGTTGCTTGGTCTCACTCATGAGCTTTCACATTCTTCTCTGTGCCTAGAATCCTTGTCATCTTCCTCTGCACTTAGCTAAGGCATCCTCTGGTCTTAGCTAGACATTGCTATCTAATGAAAGCCTTCTTTCACCTTCTGTGTGTTAGATATGCTTCCTTACTTCCCATGTATATTTCTCAGAACAACCTTCTATTTCTCCCATCCTGGTATTATCACACTTTTGTACTTGTCTGTATTTTACTAGAGTCTTAGTTCACGAAGATAGGGGCCATATTTATCCTGGTCACCATTTACTTTCCATGCTTAGCATTATCTATATTTAAAATATATCTCAACTGAGTGCAGTGGCTCAAGCCTGTAATCCCAGCACTTTGGGAGGCCGAGGTGAGAGGATAGTTTAAGGCTAGGAGTTTGAGACCAGCCCGGGCAATATAGCGAGACCTTGTCTCTACAAAAAAAAATCAGGCGTTGTGGTGCAGGACTGTAGTCCCAGCTATTTGGGAGACTGAGGCATAAGGATCACCTGAGCCCAGGAGGTCAAGGCTATAGTAGGCTGTGATCATGTTGCATCCCCCCAGCCCGGGTTATAGAGCGAGATTCTGACTCAAAAACATATGTTTATATGTATTTTCACATTTGATCAATTCTAATACATACAGATTTATACCTTATTACCCAGTTTTAAAACCTTCATTATTTTCACTTTATAAAAAAGAACAAATGTGTATAAATCATGGAAAATTTATCTTTTCATCTGTCATTTTTTGTTAATGATAAATTTTATAAAATTTGTGTGACTTGTAACATTCTTAGAGTGGAAGTCTATAAAAGATGTATAATTTTGGTTATTCTTCAAAATGAAGGATTAAACTCTGAAGATTAAAAGAAAATTTCCACTGAACTGATTATGACAGCATTGTGGAGCACTTACTGCTTTAGAAGCTGCTTTGGTCTTACCTTCAATGAATCCTGAGGGGTGCAGGGATAATGCTTAGCATATTATATATATTTTCCCTTTTCTCTTCATGCTTTAGATAACAGTGCCCAGGAGTGGAATCTTGAAATAGAGTCTTCTTTTGATGTTGTGAACTTGAAGCCAGTTGGTGGTCAAGTGATCGTAGCCATCCCTAAATTGCAAACACAGCAGATGTACAACATTGAACTTCAACCTGGAGAAAGGACTGTTAAGCTATTTGTGAAAATTAACAAGGTAAATGATAGTGCTTTCTGAGAAGCACTGGATGCAAAGCAATACCTGTTCTAAAGAATTAATTAAAAAGAAGGAACTGAATATAAAAGAAAAATATTTTTCCATTTACATTTTTCATTTTCTCTTCTGTTTTTAACCTCTCATAGTTAGTGTTAGTATGAGCTAAGGAATGGTTTTCTGAAATGTTAAGTTTTTAAAAATGGAGAATATGTGATTAATTTGGCAACTTTTCCTCTCATTTTATTTTTATCATTAAATTTTAATTTTTCTGTGGTATTTAAAGTATCCTAAACCCAAAATACATTCTATGCTTTATATTTAAATAGCAGTGATTTTTTGGGGGTACTTGTCAATTATTTTGAATATTGGTGCTTATTCTACATGCAGAATTCTAATCTTAAATTCATGATCCTGGCCGGGTGCTGTGGCTCAGCCTGTAATCCCAGCACTTTGGGAGGCTGAGGCAAGAGAATTGCTTGAGCCCAGGGTTAGAGACCAGCCCAGGCAACTTGGTGAGACTTCGTCTCTATAATAAAATCACAAAAATTAGCTGCGCGTGGTGGTGTGCATCTGTAGTTCCAGCTACTTGGAAGATTGAGGTGGAAGGATCACCTAAGCCCAGCAGGTCAAGGCTGCAGTGGCTGTGAGCATGCCCCTGCAATCTAGCCTGGGTAACAGAGTGAGACTCCAACTCAAAATAATAATAATAATAATGATAAAATAAATAAGTAAATTCATAATCTTTCATATGTCAAGATGGAACGTATTTTACCTTTCCTTCTTCTGTTCTGCTAATTGATAATTGTGAACTGAAAAGGATGGAGCAGAATAACATTCAGTTACTATTTAGATAAAATAAAAACCTACAATTATTTCTGGTTCTTGGCTTGAAAGAGTCAACTTCAAAGTCCAGTCCTGAGTGTTAAGAATATAGAATAAATGTAAGCTTAAGTGTTAGAGATAGGAAGAGTTTTTTTTCTGAACACCATGTTTTTCTGTTCTTTCTTTTCTTTTGATGTGTTGACCCATGCTAAACTCCTAGCATGTTGATTTTAAAATATTATCAATAGATCAGTATGATTTGGCATGATATAGGTAGGGAAGTTTATATCGTTTTAGAACCTAGAGTTTCTGTACTTGACTACGAGAAATTGACACAATTGTCTAAGCCACATTATTTTGCTGAAAATATGGCATGTTACTTAGAATGAAATATCTTATTTCCTAAAAGAATATTACTGTAAAAACTTGGTGGCCACATGGACATGGAAACCAGACTGGGTACAACATGACGATTCTTTTTAAGCTGGATGGAGGCTTAAATATAGAAAAATCAACTAAGGTAAGTAAATACTTTAAAATATTTTGTGAAAAATTATTTCTTGTTAAAGTAGTAATATAGATCTTCATAAGAAAAGAAGAAACCAAAGAATTCAGTGCCATTAAAATTTACTTGTAAAAAAGAGAGAGAAAAAAAGAAGAAACCAACAAAGCTCTTAATAACCCCACCACTCAGAGATAATCTCTAGTAGCAGCATTCAAAAGCTACTCTGCGTGTATTTATATTTTTAAATGGATGAGACTTTGCATACTATCTTGTCACAAGTCTCCTGCTGCACTTTTAAATTATACTTTATATCAAAGTAATATTGATGTGTAATTTTAAAACAAATATGACTAGAAGTTTCATATGAAAAGGAAGATTCTTTGCCCAAATATCTCTATTCCTACTTCTTATTCCCCAGAACTAATAATTTTTAACTTTTGCTTATTTCTTCTTCCATTTATCTTTATTTTCCTAAATAAGATGCTTCTGCTCATGTTTTCTAATTTTTCAGTCCTGCCCAGTTTGGGATATAGCACTAAGAATTGGAAAGAAGGGCACTTTGTTATTTATTATCTATAGGCTACTTACTTAATCTCAAAGTATATAATAGTGACAGTAAAAATGAGATAACTTGGATCTGGTATAGAGTCATAGTATATAGTAAGTAGAAGCAGTGTAAGTCCTCTTTATGGATTTCCTCCTTTTCCTGATACCAACCTTTGGTGCTTACAATTAGGTGTTACACTCAGGAGTTGCCTCTCACATTTGGTGTTGCCTCTTCTGTGCCAGACAACATGCTAAGTTTGGGGATATGTCCTTCAGAAGCTCATTTCCTATTTTTCTTTGTTCAGTCATGCTATAAATTTTCTGAAGCCAGGCACGGTGAGGTGGAGGCAAGAGGATTGCCTGAGACCAGGCGCTCGAGAACAGCCTGGGCAACATGGCAAGACCTCGTCTCTACAATAAAAAATCAATAAATTGACTGGGTGTGGGAGTGTACACCTGTAGTTCCAGCTACTTGGAAGGCTGAGGCTGAAGGAATGTCTGAGCACAGTGGTAGCTGTGAGCATGCCACTACATGCCTGCCTGGGCGACAGAGTGAGACCCTGACTAAAAAAAAAAATTATTTTTCTTTCTGAGTCACTGTGAATATGTGTGTGTGTGTTTGTATGTGCACACACGTGCACGTATGGTATGTACAGAGAAAACGTCCTGGACCTGTTTGAAGGGCTAAAGCATTCACTCTAACGCTTTTGTCAGAGGATATGTGTTCACTCACTTGTTGCATTTGTTGTGTATTGTCTTCATGAAAATGTGAAAAATAGTCATTCTAACTTCCTACAGAGAAAAAAAGAGGAATTTCTGGCTTTTTCTTCTTGTGGAAAAGAATACTTTTTGACTCAGGCTAATACTGTTGTATCATTGTTCCTTATACATAAAGATGCCAGTTTTTTAATTGAGCAGCAACAGCAGTGAAGAAATTAATGCGTATGTGTGAAATGTGCTTTTTGGCTGTGGCTGCTGTAAAGTTTGTTATTTTTGAGACCCATTCATTCAGTAAATACTTAGGGCACACTTACTGTTAACTCTTGGCTATTTTGCTAGGCCCTGGTGATAGAGCTGTGAGTCAGACACTACTCTCTTTCTTTCCTGAGCATTACTAGAACTAATAATCTGGTTGGAAAGTTAAATCATTAAATGAGCCATTGCAGTAAAGTGTGATAAGCACTCGAGAGATACAGAGTACTGTGGAAACACAAAGCAAAGGCATTCTGGGAAGATTTCCAGAGAAGGTGATGTCTGTGTCCTGAGGGATACGTAGAATTTGGCCAGGCAATAGTAAAAAGGCAGAGGCAAAAGAATATGTGAAAGTCCAGGGATATGAAAGAATACTGTGTGTTTGTGGAAGTGAAAAGTTTCAGTGTGGCTGTACTTGCATTTGAAGTTGAAGAACAAGAACTGATGTCTTAAAGGTAGGTTAGGTCAGGATCCTGCAGGTGCCAGTGAGTCATAAGAAGGAACTAGCACTGCCCCAAGGGCATCAGGCATTCTAAGAAAGACTGTAAGGAGGGAGTAAGGAACATCTTTGTGTTTTACAAAGATTGTGTGGATCAGATCAGAAGAATGTCAAGAGTGGGGGCCAATTAGAATACTGTGGTGGTGGCTGAGCTCGGAGGCTCAGCTTGTAATCCCAGCACTTTGGGAGGTCAAGGAGAGTGGATTGCCTGAGCCCGCGGGCATGGTAGCATGGTTCCAGCTACTTGGAAGGCTGAGGTGGAAGGATCGCCAAAGCCCTGTAGGTCAAAGCTGCAGTGGTCGTGAGTGTGCCACTGCACTCCAGCTTGGCAACAGTGTGAAACTCCAACTCAAAAAAAAAAAAGAATACTGTGGTGGTAATTCAGGCACAACATGATAGTTACTCTGTCTACAGAATTGCTGAGGATATATAAAAGAGATCTAGGATGTAACATCATCAGGCTTGATGATGTGGGTGGGAGAAGAGGAGTTAAGAATGGTTCCTCAGTTGTTGGTTTGGGCTGCTGAGCAGATGGCGGTTCTGTTCTTTGAGTTAAATTACTCAGACAGAAGAGCAGCTTTGGAGAATGAGTAGGGTGGAAATTATTTCAGTGTTATGTGTTTTTTGTGTAGAGTGATTGAGAGATAACCAAGAAATTTAATTTAATTTAATTTAATTTTTTAAGCTGGGGTCTCACTCTGTCACCCAGATTGGAGTGCAGGGGCATGATCATGGTTCACCGCAGCCACAACCTCAATCTCCTGGACTCAGGAGATTCTGTGCCTGACTTTTTTTTTTTTTTTTGTAGTTACAAGGACTTTCTATGTTGCCTAGACTGATCTTGAACTGGGCTTAAGCAATTCCCTCATCTTGCCTCCCAAAGTACTGGGATTATAGGCATGAGCCACCGTGCCTGGCCCCAGGAAATAATATTTGATGGGGATTTCATTATATAGGTCTAAGGCTTAGGAACTGGATCTGAATTAAGAATATAGGTGTGTAATCAACAGAATATAGGTCATTGTAAGCCATAGGAAGGGATGAACTATCTCAGGGACTACACAGAGAGGAGAGTTAGGGCATAACCCCAGGCAGTCATAATAAGTAAGGATGGAAAGGGGAAAGAAGGCCATAAAGGAATCCAAGAAGGAATGGCTGAAGAGTGGAGGGAAAACCATTCTGAGTGGGGAGTCACGGAAACCAGAGGGAGAGAGTATTTTAAGAAGCAGGAAATGCTCAGAGTGTCAAGTGCTGCAAGGGAAGTTAAAAGAGATTGAGAAAAATACTTTAGATTTGGTGGCAAGGAAATGACCGGTCACGTTGATGAGAATGGGTATCAAATTGCACTGGGTCAAGGAATGACCGAAGGTAACAAAGTAGAGACAGTGAATGTAGACAACACTTCTAAAAATGTTTGGTTGGGAACCATGCCCAAGCCATGTGGGTAATGGTGGCCATTTGGGGTCAGATTATCCACCCACAAGTGACTAAACAAATAAATAAATATATTAAAGTCTTGGGAGCAAGCCTTTTCAGAGAAAGGCTGGTATACATATGATCATAGAAAGGAGGAAAACTAGATTGGCATTTGAGCTAGTAGTACAAACTCATGATTTTCAGTATGTATAGATAAATACAGAAATAAGTGTAGATAAAAATGCATTATATATGTGTGTATACAAACACACACATACACACTCATATTTCCTAGCTCTTTCCTAGAGTTCCTGGCAAGAGAGGTATTCTAGTAGCAATGAGCTACTAGGGCTACAGTTCTGGTGCCTATATCTTGATTTTCTTTCTTTTCTTTTCCTTTTTTTAAAAATTTACTGTAGAGACAAGTTCTCGCCAATTTGCCTGGGCTGGTCTTGAACCCACGGGCTTAGGCAATTCACTTGCCTCGGCCTCCCAAAGTGCTGGAATTACAGGCTGAGCCACTGAGCCTGGCCAAAAGCAACCTTTTTTTTTATTTATTTATTGTAGAGACGAGGTCTCAAGTTGCCCAGGCTGGTCTCAAACCCACGAGCTCAGGCAATCCACTCGCCTTGGCCTCCCTAAGTGCTGGAATTACAGCTATATCTTGATTTTCAGTTCTACTCTCTGCTCAAAGCAATCAGAGCTCTTTGGAGAAATGACTGGTTTTGGAGTTGGAGCCCAGAATATCTTGCTGTGCTGGAAAGTAAGAAGGTACTCAAGAATAATGTGACACATCGAAAGGACACAGGGACAGTGTAATGGGGCTCCTCCTGGCCACATATGGGAGAATTTGAACATCAAAAAAATAGAATTTCTGTGTGCACACTGGTTTAAGTAAATAAATGAATAAGTAAATGGCGGGGGGGGGGGGGGGAGGAAAGTTATTCCTCAAAGTGGAATGTCAACTAATACATTAGAAGATGGGACTGGGTCACCTGAGACAGTCTCCACCACTGCACAATATGTCCATGTAACAAATATGCACTTAAATTTAAACTAAAGTAAAAAAAAAATTTTAATGTAGAAGGAATGATGGAACTAGCAAAAATAACCATTTGACAACTACCGTAGTGATAAATAATTCAGGCAAGAAATATGAATGGATACCAAAACTTAGAGGGTAAAATGTCATTAAATAGGAGCTATTTGTGTAACCTCAAAAAATTGTGCAACAAAATATTTATTAATTATAATGGAGAGATAAACAGTGGAGAAATCTAGTAGACATTATCTTGATTAAGTGATTATCATCACCAGTAAGATAAGTGACATCGTGTCCACCCATTAAGCTATCACAAGAATACAGCATCACTTCTGTTCTTGCTGCCAAAAGCAGATATCCTGGTTCTAATGATGAGGAAACATCAGGCCCATTTGCTAAAATCTTCAAATCTGCCTCTGTTTTCATTCTACTGTGATCTTCAAAAATGTCAAGGAAAGAGCCAGGCATGGTGGCTAGCGCCTATAATCCCAGCACTTTGGGAGGCCAAGATGGGAGGATAGTTAAGATCAGGGGTTCGAG